ACCCCACCCCGTCACCACCGCATTGGTTCAACAGGAACTATTTGAAGTTTTTATATCAAGACTCTGGTTCCACTCCCCGCGCAAAGGGGGACGCAGGGGAGCGGTGAGGCTTTTCATGATTCCTTTATGGACGGCTGAAATAGTTCGAAAGTATTTGGGATCATCTCCACGGGGGTAAATACACTGTTGCTTCAATTGCTGTCCTGTTTTATTCAACGAGTCAATTGAAGTGGTGTCTCAAAATTGAGAATGCTTATTTCCAGAGCAGTTGTGTGAAATAATTGATGTGAAGAATCAAAAAAAAAGAAAGAAGAAAACCACTCTTCACTGCTCCCTGTCATCAGGCGGCGGGGCTTTTAGAGACAACACTAAAAAGCTTTACGTCTTTCTCCTCTTTCTCCTTTTTTTACACTTTGGTGGAGTGATGTTCAGAGCACCTTCTGAAAGACTGTACAGGAGCAAAACCAGACGGGTTAAATGTAAGAAACACGTTTAACTGTTTTGACTCACACGGGATAACTGGAGCCTGAAAACATCAGATGAGTTCAGGAGTGACCCCAAGCCTCACCGTTCAGCAGCAACGTTACAGGATAGGTTTTATTTTGTTCTGGTAAATATTCTCTGCAGAGTTTGAGACCTCACAAGTAAATACCCTCAATCCAGCRGATCCAAACTTGGTAAAACTTGCCTTTCATGATCACTCATCTGGAGCTGAACAGTCGACGTGTYGTCACGTTTTCAGTGCTAGTTTTCGCACGCACCTTTCAAACACACTGATCTCTGGGAAACTCCTCCCCACTACAGTACACGTCACTCAATCACTCAATCAGTCATGGTCAATATAAAAGGGGCTTTTTTGACTAAACATCTTCAACAGTGTAACACGGTGYCTRAGTGGGTAGAGCTGTTGCCTCTCAGAGAGAAGATTGCCGGATTGAATCCCGGAGTTTGCATGTTCTCTCTGTGCATGCATGGGCTTTCTCCAGGTACTCTGGTTTCCCCCCACAGACACTAAAACATAACCGTTCAGCTAACTGGTAACTCTCAGTTGTCCCTATGGGTGAGGGTGTATGGTGGTTTGTCTCTATCYCCCCTTTTCCACTAGTGCCTCTGCAGCACAGTTTGACTTGGCTCTCCACAGGTCCAAGGCTTTTCCTTTAGCAAGGATTCATGGAACCAGCCCCCTTTTCAGAACTTACTTCGCTGTGGTTCCAAGTGTATAATGCTGGCCTGAAAACAAGCATGGTGGCCCTCAAAGCACCAGTTCTAAATACCTTCAATGTTTCATGTTTAACTTTGGCTAAAGATGAAGCATCATGTTCCTCATCTCATTGCTACAGCTGAGCATCACTAACAAACAATAACTGAGCTCTACCTGGTATTTCCTGCATAGAAACAYTGTTTAACACGTCCTCTTATAAACACTGGAAAGTACTATGTGTACGACTGACTAAATGTGAAATAAATGATATAGAAATGCTATTAAAAGTTAAAGTTTTTTGACAGGGAATTCCCACTGGAAGGATGTTCTAATTTAAATTTACAAGTTGTAAGTAGGAAATCCCCACTTCCCAGTGCAACTGGGCTGCAGCAAAAAATGCAGCAAAATGTATTACACTGCCAATTTCTCTACTTCTGAACCCTGTGCAGCTCCACCTAGTGGTGGGATGCTGTCATTTCTTTGGTAAAATAATTGGCGTCGTGGGAGATGTAGTTTATGGTCAAAGCTTTAAAGCAGCTTATTTTTAATTTATACATCTTCAAAGCTCTTTCGGGCCATGTAAAATGCTCCGGTGGGCCACATTTGGCACATGGGCCCAGAGTTGGTCATGTGATCTAGGGTGACAGTTTGGATCAGGGACACGTCTGGATAACTTGTAATTATATATAATAGTTTGAACRCTAAAGTTAGTTATAAATTGCTCTAAAAGTCTTGTATAAACCTACAATCCTCCTCGTTCAACCTCCCCTGAGCTCCTCTGACTTTCCCCTCTGATCTGAGTACCGTCAGTCTGATAAGTGAGACAAACTGATGCAGCCAGTGATGTCACTGAGTTAACTGGTCCTCTCAGGTTAAGACATTCATGAACCTTTAGTTCCACTTAATTTAAGATTTAGTTAAACAGATTAATATATTTGAGTCTGGATGAATAAATCGACTCTGTGTGGATTAAAGAAACAGCACAATAAATAAAATAATGGAAAACAAAAGGTTCAAATCACTCATMAAAAGCCCCACGTTAATGACATTAAAGCTCATAAGTGTTTGTAAACTTTAGTCTGCAGCTGTGTTTAGCTGTAATAACCACAGAGCTGCAATCTTTGTTAAATTTAAGATAAAAGTGCAGAAKAAGAAAGCCTGCAGCTGGAGGGCCGGCTGCAGACGGTGTCAGATCTGCTGTGTGTTTTCTGATGGTGGGCTTCGCGCAGCGTGGCATGACAAGTCTTTGTGTACACGTGCACCATACATTACACTGTGTCTGTGTTTGGATGTGCTCGTCTTCATGTGTGGCTTGTCTAACGGAAGGGTTTTTTTTATTGCTGTGATGTGTGTGTGTGTAGAGCTGCATGCATTGTATCCACAGAGGTGCACAAATAGCTCCTCGGGGTCCTCGCGATCACAGGCTGCCGAAAGAAAAAGGATTTCCGAGAGGTTTCCTGCTCGTTATTTAAAGTGGGAGCCCTGTGGGACATGTTTGGCATTCTCATCCGCTCACTGAAGATGGCCTGTGATCCAGAGCCACTAACAGGCTTGGCGGGCTCCGTCTCTTCACTAGCGCTCTCTTTCCTTTCTCTTTCCCTCTGGCTCTCTGAAGTGATTACCCTGCTTGTGATTCCACTGACACCCACATGTCCCCCAGAGACGTGCCGTCACTAGTTTGTTTAATCTGCCTCCCTGTACAGTAGGTAACGCAGCWGTAATTGAGGTGTGGATAGAGCTGCGGGAGCAGATGAAACCGATTGGAGGCTTTATGAGAACTTGTTGGCGCTCTGTTTCTCCGGGGATGACGGCGGCTTCCAGATTAATGCACAAAACGCAGCTGCGATAAGAATTTTTCGAAGTTAAATGTCAGTTCTTTGTCTTGTAATTTTCCTTTCTTCCCCTCACCCGTCAGTGAACGACGAGTCTTTTAATATCAAATCAGCATTTGAACGTTCTAATAATTCTTTCAAAACGTTGCGAGGAAAGTTGTGGAGCATCGGCCCGTTTTAAGATAATGACTTCTCTGAGATTAGAAAATTATTAACCCAGCCTSGCAGATATTCAATCTTGTCGACACGTGACGACCAACAAAAAAGCAGTTGCGCTGATACCTGAGACAGATTCCCGCTTTATACTGCGTTTGAGTTTTTGATATGAAAACAGTGAGTTGAAGTGTGAAGACGCGAGCATCAGATACTCTATCTGCCCGCGGTTAGTGTCTCGCCTCTGTTTGTAACACGCCTGAACCGCTGCGTTCAGAACATCCAGGGTGTCAATCAGCGCTCCAAATCAGCCTTCAGATGTAGCAGAAATGGAAGAGAAACGATCCATTGAACTGAATTAATTAAATATACTGTATCGAGCTTCTGTTGAGAGATGGCATCTGTCCTCAGATGTGTAAAAAATAAAACAGATATCTGTTCAGACCCTATTATTGTGAGATACCAGTAATTAAATTGACAGTTATTAATTGGGTTGAAGATAACTTGCACTAAGTCGAGGACATCTTAAACTCAATTAAAGATATCTCCAGCTCATTTAAAGATATCCAAATGCCGTGTCCCGTCGTACGCAATCAGGCTTTTTGTGGAGCAATAATATCAGTTCACTTGTGCCCCCCCCCCCRTTTTTTTTTACAAAGACTTCCTTGTTCTTCTAAAGTTTTCATTTTATCATTTAAAGCCTGACTTTTTGAACAGATGTCACTCTCGTGATGTGTACGGGTTCTTCAYTGTGCCATAATTATCGTTATAGTGTTTAATCCTTCCTTATCCAGTGTGTTTGAACTAAAAATGAAGTAGAAGAGCGTCTGAAATGCATTTAAAAGGTATGAAGTAGGATGAACAGATGGTCATTTTCTGTTGCTTCAGGACTTTGAAGAATTTAAATCATCTTAAACACTTGAGTAMCTTTAAAAATATAAATAACATCAACATGTTTTTTTGCTCCTTTCAGCTTTTTAAAGTAATAAAACTAAGCATTTTATTTATCTAAAACTAACCCAATTAATAAACTTTCACTGATCTAAGTTTATCTTCAGCCTTATTTAGTAAGTAAATCTACTTATTTAGTAGAATTGGACAGCTTGGGATAATTCTCTACAAGAAGTAAATAATGCTACATGCGACAGATTCTTGGTTAGACTACATGTTGGGGTTTCTTCCTTGAAAACCACATTTCAGTTTCAAGTTTACAATAAAGTTAAATTACTACAAGAAAGTCAAAATGTAGAAAAAAGCTCGACGTTAAAACAGTTGTTTTGGTGGTGAGTCGACACTGACTTAAAATTTTAGATCAATATCTGAAAATGGGGTTATAGTCACTGCCAAGGTTAATTAGCTGTGGTGGCCATTTTTAATCAGATTGATTCCCAAAGTTAATCAGTTCTGGATGGGAATCCGATTGTGTCATGAAAGTTTCATTCATTTCTTTCCAATGTCCAGAAGAGAGGTGTTGCTGAAAAACGGTCTGTCGACAACCAGTGARGAGCAGCTTTGGTGCAAAGACCTACAACAGTTTTTAGTCTTCTGTAAATGAACAAGTGACTAGTTTTACTTCAGAATAAATAAAAAAAATACTTTTTAAAGCACATTCTTAGCAACTTCTGCTGTGTCTAACCTCTAAAAAGTCAAGCTTTTTAGAAAAAAGCTTAAAAAAAGCTTCAGTTGTTTTGGCAGGAACATTCATTAAATGTCTGAGGCTCTTATTTTGAAGAACTGATGTGACACCAATAAAGTGTCACATCAGTGTTAGACTGGCTTAAGAAAACAAGTCAACTTCAGCTATAATAATAATAATAATAATAATGATGATGATAATAATGATAATGATGATGATAATAATAATAATAATGATGATGATGATAATAATAATAATAACAATAACATGTGGATACAATTGTTGGTACTTCTCATTTAAGAAAAGAAAAACCCACAATGATCACAGAAATAACTAGAATCTGACAAGAGTAATTATAAATAAAAATTCTATGAAAATGAACAAATGAAAGTCAGACATTGCTTTTCATCCATGCTTCAAAAAAATAAAACAACTCATGAAACAGGCCTAGACAGAAATGATGGTACTCTTAACTTAATATTTTGTTGCACAACCTGTTGAGTCAATCACTGCCATCAAATGATTCCTGTAAGTGTTAATGAGACTTCTGCAGCTCTCAGCAGGTATGTTGTTCCACTCCTCATGAACAAACTGCTCCAGTTGTCTCAGGTTGAAGGGGGTCTTTTCCAGACTTCATGTTTCAGCTCCTTCCAAAGATGCTCAACAAGATTTAGGTCAGGATCATAGAAGACCACTTCAGAATAGTCCAATGTTTCCTCTGAGTCATTCATGGGTGTTTTAGCTGTTTTGGGTCCCACGACTGAGACCAAGCTTTCTGACACTGGGCAGCACATTTCTCTCTAGAATCCTTGATAGTCTTGAGATTTCATTGTACCCTGCACAGATTCAAGACCCCCTGTGTCCACACACAAGTCTTTATCAGACTTTACTCTTGACAAATCAACTTTTGCAGTAATTTATTTCTTCTATTTCATGTTAATACATTTTCATGATTGTATTTAATCACATTGTAGGTTGTTTTTGTGTTATTGCAAATCCTCTTAAAAGTTTTCGTTATTGGACCTGTATTGTTTTGTTTGTTTGTTTGTTTGTTTGTTTGTTTGTTTGTTTGTTTGTTTGTTTGTTTGTTTGTTTGTGGACTTTTTATTTGATCTGCCAAAATACACTTTGGTTTCTGTAATTCATGAGATTTTTCTTAGCTCTTTTTTGGTCAAAGACCTTTTTTTCCACATGGCACTGATARTTTATGTCACTGATTTCCCAAACTATTTCTGCCAGACCCCTTTTTGGTTTATAAGAAAATCCCACTCCCTCACGTCTCCAACCCCTGTTCCCACACTTCCAACCAGACACACAGATGTTTTGTTTTCAAACTCCGTTGAATTTTATTTTATACTTTACCCTTTTTTGCACAATTGAACCAATAAAAGTAAACTGAAATAAATTACAAGTTGCAATAAAAACTACAGCTTATTTTAATTAAACAAACCACTTCGTAGTGTCACTCTTTTTAACTGTCTTATTATTCTGACAATATTCAACATCTATCTATAAATAAAAGAAACATGAACAACTCCCTGAGAGAAAAAGAAACTTAAAGGTCTGTTGAGCAAAATTGGCTCCATTAATTCTCTATTCTTTGCATTTATGTAGTTATAAACCTGTTCATTATGCTTGCAATGACCAATCATTTAACTTTTAGTTATGAAGATGCATTTATGACTCTATTTTTTCACCTGATTGAGCACTTTTCTGTCAATAACAAACGAGATCGAGATCACCTCCAATGTTTTCAGAAATGTGAGGTGACCGCTGCTTCACAGAGAAATAGCTTCTGACTTGAAATACTTGCGTGGATGCAGACTAAATGTGTGCTCAGCTTCTCTTCTGTTCCCCTGTCAGGACGCTGTGCCAGCTGTGGGGAGAATGTGGTTGGTGAAGGCACCGGCTGCACCGCCATGGACCAGGTCTTCCATGTGGACTGCTTTGTCTGCATGACCTGCAGCACCAAGCTGCGTGGCAAGCCCTTCTATGCCATGGAGAAGAAGGCCTACTGTGAGCCTTGCTATATCGTAAGCAACCTTTTCCCTTCCTCACTTCACCGAGACACTCTCTGCTCTGAGATCTTAGTAAAATGTCTGCTACCATAAATGCTTAAATTAAAATAGGACTGCATCTCAAAACTCTATACTACTGTTCTTAATTTCAGTCTGTCCCTCGCTTATGTTSTTCTTCTTGTACCACTGGAGTGCATTATCACAGCAGTTTATACTAGCTGCTCATACATCCACTTATCAGTAGTCAGGTCCTGAAGGTAACAGGTTCAAACACCTCCCGAGGGGATCCCAAGGTGTTCCTAGGCCCAATAGGACATTAAATCCCTTCATAGCGAGTTCTGGATCMGTTCTGAGGTCTCTTCACAGAGGGATGTGTTTGGAACCCTTCCAGAGGTAGGTAGGTACCCAGGAGGCATCCTAATCAGATARTTGACTCTACTCTGAGCTCCCCCCGGATGACGGAGCTCTTCACTTTGTTTCTAAAACTGAGCTCAGCCACTCTTTGGGAGAAGCCCAAAGAGTGGCGGAATAAGAAACAAAGCACTTTGCAAAYCAATCCAATAATTTCCAACAATCCAAACTAAAGTAAATGGTAAATGGACTGTACTTATATAGCTCTTTTCTATCCATGCAGGACACTCAAAGCTCTTCACACTACAATCTGTGTCCTCATTTACACATTCACACAGCACTCTACTAGGTCTCCTACAAAGCTAACATGTACAATCATATATGGAGACTAATCAGTGCCAATCACATTCATACGCTGATGGAACACACATATTGTGCCCAAGAACACAACAACTGAGACAGCTGGACGGGGGATCGATTCCAAGACGACTCCCCTAACCACTCTGCCACAGCCGCCCCCTAGTCCAGTTTTATGTTTGCTTGTTGCTGCATTAGCTTGTAAATCAGGGCTCAGTTTCACAGCAAAACAACAAACAAACATGTTCCTAACCAAAGGCCAATTTTAGTGATTCATATAGAAATATATGGCACGGTGGCTCAGTTGGTAGAGCTGATGCCTCCCTGCAAGAAGGTCGCCGGATCAAATCCCGGTCCGGGGACCTTTCTGGGTAGAGTTTGCATGTTCTCTCCATGCATGCGTGGGTTCTCTCCGGGTACTCCGGCTTCCTCCCACAGACCAAAAACATGACTGTTAGGTTAATTGATAACTCTAAATTGTCCGTAGGTGTGAGTGAGAGAGTGAATGGTTGTCTGTCTCTCTGTGTCCCTGTGATGGACCTGCAAATTGTCCAGGGTGTACCCCGCCCCTCACACTGTGACTGCTGGATATGGACACCAGTGACCCCCGTGACCCTAGAAAAGGAATAAACGGGCATAGATGATGGATGGATGGATGGATGGATGGATGGATGGATGGATGGATGGATGGATGGATATAGAGATATGAACAATAGCCCGTCTAGATATACAACATTTAGAAGAAGCATAACTTAAATGGTTAAAGGAAAACAAAGGCCAATCATTCCTTGTAGGAATGCACATCGTCCACTCACTTTCATGCCTGAATAAAATCTTCTGTGTAGAAACAATGAGGTGTAGCCATTTCGGTTAAATCTTAAGCGCAAAACCACAGAATACTGTCTCCAGACTAAAGGACCCAGCATGTTTGATCAGCAGCCAACCAGATGATGCTTGGTCACATGGTGGCAGGAGGGTCCTTTTCACACACATCTTATATAGTCCAGCAAGGCACARGGCTCAGACGTGGGGGCAACACGAGGCTGAGAACAAAATGATGAGACTTTCGTCACACAGCTACGTCAATGAGAGCAGATTGATTTATTTACCTTTATTTTACCAGTCAAATCCAACTGAGATCGAAGATCTCTTGCAAAGGAGGTCTGTACTGGAAGGCAACCTAAACTGCATGTTTTGGGTCTGATCTTTTCTGTTATTTGTTCTCTGCAAGAAGTCTGCAGTACTGTATTTATATCCAGTTTATTGAGCACATTAAGATGAACTGAGACTCCTCCTGTCACAGGTTAGCAGACTGGGTTGAACAGGAAAGTCAAAGTAGGACCTTATCTGGCCTGAGGTCCTTTTGTTTGACACGTGCTCAAGAAGAGTAATGTGTTAAACCAAATGAACGTGGAAAGATTCTCTGGAAAGAGAAAATAAAAGAGTAATTAATGCTAATTATGTTTGATTTAGAATGTGGGTTAAAGCATCCTGATGACTAAGCAGCTCAAAATAAGTCCTAATATACAGAAAATCTGCTCTGGAAAACTTGAAAAACAAAATAATTAGATGATGCTCTTTCCTCTGAAAGCACATCCAAACACATTTGTGCCGTTTTCTTTGCATCTCTTGCAGGAAATGGTTTGATGTGCACTTCAGCAGTGAAAGTCCTGACCCTGAGCTTCATGACGTGTAAACCCGAGGCAGGCCAACTCTTAAATCATCTCTCTTCAGGGGCACTCACTCTGATTGTAGTTGTCTTGTCTGGAAGTTCTCCAACTCTGATCCACGCACTAAAGAGGAATGGGATAATTTAGGAACTTTATTTATGCATTTCATCAGCATAAATGTTCTTCTGGCACTAGATCAAAAGGATGGGGGGGAAATCTGAATTTCTTAATGAAAGTAATTTCTTCTTTTATTCTCATCCTGAGGGTCATACGCCTCTGTGCGATTAGAGAATGAACGTAAGAATTGAGCCTCTGAGGAGAGTCGTCCCAGAGGGGAGGAGGAGGAAAACTTCTTCAAGTCAGTCCAGGAATCTCTGAAGTCGAACAAACAGGAATCAGAAGCTACAAAATCGATTCTGAGTGTAGATTAGTGACAACTTGTTTCAAAATCAGCCTTTGTTTTGGCGGCAATCCAGTTAAAAATAGTCGCCACAGTGAAATAACATTATGTAAAGTAATAATGTTTATCATTTTGTTGACTTTATTCAGATAAAATAGATACAAAGTTGAAAATCRCTCCAACACAAACTCTGTGTGACATCTCATGAGATGTAACATTGTAATAAACATTTGACCAAAACGACAACGCCATCGTTCCAAGTTGAGTTTAGTCTAAAACCCATGACGTAAAAGACAGTGGGTGATGTGTGTTTCTCTAAGGAATCTTAGATCTTTAATTTTAGCAGATTGATTCGATATTTTCAGAGGAAACACAAACTCTACTGCAGCATGTTTTTATTTTTTGCTCTTGTGTCRAATTACCACTTAGCTACAGGGAGTTAGTTTAGCTCAGCATGAAGATTGGGAGCAAACGGTAACGGCTAGCCTAGTTCTCAAAATAAAACCAAATAATACAAATCAAATCCATAAATGCTCACCTTTAGAGTTTTATAATAAAATAGTTTTAATAAAGTTTTAAAATAAGGAAAAGCAGTTCATTGGGTCATGCCTCCACTCTGTAATACAAAGTTTCAYTAGGCTGCTTTCTGTTCAGGRCTCCCTCGCAAAAGAGATCTGTCATCTCAATGGGATTTGTCTGATTAAATAAAGGTTAATACATAAAATTAATTCAGCCYAAGATAAATACAGGACGAGTCAAAAGTCTCAGGACACCTTTTTACTTCAGAAAGAAGAGTGACAATGACATATCTCTGAATACCCCCAACAGATAAATGAGCAGGACATGTCTTTGGAAATCTTGCTCTTGATCCAATATGGCCGCTTTCAAGATGGCGGCCATGTTCTGGACATAGCCTAAAACATAGGCCACCTCAACCGGTGTTTTCTGGAGTATTCAGACACGTCGTTTTCCCTTTTATAAATGATGATAAATAAAAATGTGTCCTGATACTTTCCCTGTATTTCTCAGATCCTAAATAAAATAGTTCTTACGGCTTCATCAAGAAAGTTTTGTGTAGAGCTCAGTAAAGCCTCCACTCTGCTCTATCTTTGAGTGATGTTTTTTATGAAGACCATTCATTTTCTCTTTAAATCTTAAACAAACTTCTAAGTGTGAAACCTCTGCAGTCATAACATGCAAACATTAGCCAACGGCCTGTGTGTCCGTTTCCTCCAAATGACTAAATCATTCTTCGATGAAACGTTGTGTAGCTGTTATCTTGAGACACGGAAACTCGGCTTGTAGTTCTGTTTTTGCTCCTTCGTCTTCCCTGCACGCTGTGTGTGAAATAGATTTTTCCAACAGCCCCTGGCAGCTGGTTACAGTTGATGCAGAATGTCTTACAGGTAAAACAGGAGCCTGAGGACACTCACTGTCTGCAGAATCTGTGTAATAATATGCAAACACCATTAATCCCTTTGCCAGGAATTGCAGGAATACATTTTGCACGCTGATTGCCATCCAACAAAGTATTCTGCCATGTATCAAAGTAGGCGATCAGCAGGGCGCTTATCTGAGCCGCCACTTTACATATTCTGGGGAACAATGGTGACATTTGAACAGAGAAGATGCATCTCTTCCGTAGTCTGATTTGCCTCATTCAACTGTTTGCCTAGATATTATTGATTCCTTTTAGTAATGTGCAGGAACTCTCCCATGCCTGTTATCATTGCTGCAGTACTTCCTGATTTTATAACCTGCTATCTTTCAACCAACCAACCGCAGTCACACTGCTGGCCCACAAACTGCCTCCCCCTTTGTGCACGGCCTGCCTCCACAGACGACGTATCAGTGCCTATTTGAATGCACAGTGATGCTGATAAACCTTACAGCCGTTCAATTAATGGTTCATTTTGCATGAAGTGATTCACAATTGTTTTATTTGCGAGAGCCACATCAGAGTTTTGTTTTGGTTGTTTTATCTTTTGTCTGACGTGCAACCGCCTGAGGTTTCCCCGTGCTTTTCTCGTACGGTCTTTGTACGAAGACCAGATTCAGAAGCACCAGTATGTGGAGACTCCACCCAGCAAGACGTCCATCACTGAGAGACAGCTTTCAAATTTACTGAAGGGTTTTCCAAGAAAGCTCTTGTGAAATGGTTTCCAATCGATTGAAATTATGCTGGCTAAAAGAAATAAATCACATCTGGGAGAGAACTGGATAAAAAGTAGAGGAAG